ACGTTTACATTTGTGGGGCCTGTTACAGATCTGTGGAATCAGGTTTTTATTTGCTGTAGATCTGAAGGAACTCTATATTTTCAGTGTTGATTGGAGGTATCAGACTTTTCCTGTAGTTTTAATCTATAGAATTGTGTTCCGACCTGCCAAGAACAGCAGAGAGATATCTGCTAACGATTTCAGATTATAATGAGGTGTGTACTACCTGTTCTTAAAGAAAAAAAAAAGTTCATAAGATAATATAATCACTTTAAGGGCCATGTCATGCTGGGGATTCTGTCAGCCAGCAGCTGCCACTTTTCCTAGAGGAAGCAACTCCCTCAATGGCTAAACCACTGCAGAATTGCGTTTGCTAGTGACGGAGCTGTGCAGAATAAAAACTAGCTTGGCTCGGGCACCAAGGGAGCAACGCCATGGGAGAAGGTGAGCGGAGTCTTAGCGATTTCTGATGTTGTCACCAGAGACAGAATCACTAGTGTGACATGACCCTGAAAATGTATAGCCTGAGCCAAGTCCTTGAATCTTCTATGACCTCCTTGCTTTAAACTGGACATAGATGCTGCTGGGCAGAGTGAAGTGTAGGCTAATCAAATAGCTGAAAGATTTTTTTTTTTTTTCGTATGTATGGGATGCAGTGTGCATGCTTATACCTGGAACCAGGCCCTGGGGGTCTGTGGGGTCTATGTTATGCTGTTTCTCTCTTGACTTCTGCCAGATGACCATACATTTTCTGTATCTGTTCTGTCTGCCTTTGTTATATTGCTTCTGTCTGTCTCTGGATGACGTTATGATGTATTACGTTATGTTACCAAAATTTTGTGGACATCTGACATCACACAATATGACCTTTTGAACATCCTATTCCAAAACTATGAGTTGTCCTTCCACTGCAGATATAAAAACCTCCAATCTTCTGGAAAGAATTTCTACAAGATTTTGAAGTGTTTTTGTGGGGATTTGTGTCCATTAGGAGAGCATGTCTAAAGTCAAGTACTGATGATAGACAAGAAGATCATAATCCGTGTGCCTGTTCATCCCAAAGGTTTTCAGAGGGGATTGTGGCTCAGTGTAGGCCACTCAAGTTCCTCCACAACAAAGTCATCAAAATGTCTTTTTATAGCTGGCTTTGTGCACAGGAGAACAGAACAGGGCCTTCCCCAAGCTGTTGTCACAAGGTTGGAGGAGCATGATTATCTAAAACCTCTTTATGTAGTAACATTGACTATAAACCCCTGAACTCATAAATTTGTAGTGGGGACCACATAGTGTGGCTGTGGTGATCAGGTGTCCACATGCACTATATACAGTATATTTTTGTCTTGGCCTTTGATCTTTAGCTGACAGTATGTTATGTTGTATCTGTTCCAGCCTGTATCCTGTTTGGATGACCATATGTTGTACTTCTCTGTTTTGGCTTCTTTTCTCCATCACTGACTGTATTTTTAGTTTTCTCTATGTTGCTCTCTGCATTGGGAATAACTGCTTCTCCTTCAGCCTGTATTCCAGCCTTCTTTTTTTTTTTTTTTTTTTTTTTTTTAATGATGCTGCCTCTTTCTCGGACCGATTCATTGTGGATGACTCCTTAATCATCTGTTGTGCTATCTCCATCTGGGCTTGGGCCCTCTCAGGCTAATAAGTGTGTTGTCTCTTTTCTAAGTTTGAGTTCTCTCCTGTTTGTACTTGTGGACATTTTTTTTGCACTTTCTTATCACCCTTATTTGTCTCTTTAGTGTTGAAGGTGGTGACTCTCTTGGAAGTGAATCTGGAACAATTGTTGACAGTCCAGGCCAGCAGCCTCCATACCGTGGAGAGGTGAAAAGTGACCATTACGACCTGCCATCACCCACTCGCCACATATCACACCCTGGCCTCCAGTGGAGTCAAAGGGCCAGACTGCAACCAGCCAGTGTTGCTTTGCGAAAGCAGGAAGAAGAAGAAAACAAGAGATCCAAAGCCTTGTCTGACAGCTATGAATTGTCAACAGACCTCCAGGACAAAAAGGTACCTATCCACATCCAGTTCTCCTATATGTCCTCTACTTTCCTCCTGTCTTACATCAAGGCTTAGTCCTTGTCTGTAACTTTTGTCTCTTCCCCTGTCCTTCTGGAGACATGGTTTTCAAACCTGTCACTATGACTAAGTAGTCATATTTTCTACTAGTACTGAGTCAACCAAGTGCTAAGCTGTAATAAAATGTTTTACAACTTGTAACTGTGTTTTTGCACAGTTAGTCCCAGGGACAGGTTTGAAGGCGGCTCTTGCTATTTCTGTCCATGCTTCTATCCTGTCCCCTACTGCTCCCTCTAACCTCATGTTTCAGACTGTCCTTCTGTCCTCTTTGGTGTCTCCTGGACCCTTGTCTTACACACACACTCTACCTGTCTCCTGATGTAGGTGGAGATGCTGGAGAGGAAGTATGGGGGCTATTTCCTCAGTCGGCGAGCGGCTCGCACCATCCAGACTGCGTTCAGACAGTATCGCATGAATAAGAACTTTGAACGCCTCCGTAGCTCTGCTTCTGAGAGCCGCATGTCTCGTCGGATCATCTTATCCAACATGCGCATGCAGTACTCCTTTGAGGAGTACGACAAGACCCACAACGCCCCATATTTCCAGGGCAAACCGGTGTCATTGGACGAAGGGGTAGCTGCATGTCGTGGGCAGGGGGAGCGAGGTCTTCTGTATGGGGGCTCCTGCAGCGGTATTGACGGTGATTCCATCAACACCTCAGGGGAGTTTTCCAATGAAATCACAGAACTGGAGGATTCCTTCTCCAAACAGGTGAGACACAAGATGGGTGTGTGTTATATTTTGGGAGGAGTTAAAATAATTTTATAGTGAATAAGTGGGATAAAGGCATGGATAAAGAGGATATCAAAGTCTTTTAACCATTGGTGGAGTTTTTCAATTTTTTTTTTTTAACTATTACGATAGCCAGCCTAGAAAATACCACTTACAGGGTCAGTATATTCAAAGCAGATATTGAGATGCTAGTGGCTGAATCAACCATTGGCATCTTTTTTTGTCTCAGAGACTCAGTCAGTAAAGTAATTCCTACATATTTCCCAGCCTGGCTGCAACACCACCATTCGTTACCACTGTCCATGCTACATGTTTCTGTCATGTAAGCTGAGTGAGTGAGTGAGTGAGTGAATGCCCCTTGTAATTCCCATGGCAGCTGGACACATCTAACTCAAGTGGAGAAATCTTGCTGCCAGAGTCCCTGAGAGATACGAGGAGCCAGTGACTGATTGACCACCCCACCCACCCTGTTTACATTTCTAAGGTAACATATTTATTTTAACCCTTTAAGGGTACCACAAACTTCCAATGGAGGCAGCTATTTTCTCGACTGAACTAGGGAATCTACCTTTATTGGTCTTTAATCTACTTGGAAATAGTGACATACCAAGTGCATTTTGTGCAGTGGTTCCAAGTCGATTAATAGTTTGGATATTGGCTCAGCAAAAAAATGACTGCTTCAGATGTATAGGGGTGAAGGGTCCATTTTAAAATACATTCCTAGTGTGTCCTTTCTCCTAGCTGTGTCATAGTGCACTATATAGCCGTGCATCTGTCTTCCTCCTGCTACATTTTTGTGACTCCCCTGCCCAAGTCACCCTCTTTTTTTGTGTTTTTGCTTTTGAAGATATGACAGTATTGCTGCCTCTACACAGTCCCATTTTGTCCCGATGCATTTTAAACACTGATGTCTGTGACGTTTTTTTTTTTTTAACATTTTTTTTTTTCTATTAGTATGGGTTTTCTACTATGCTTTAGATTAAAGGAAACCACAGCATTTACTTGTGCCCCATGATTTTTACCGAATTAACACTGAGGTCAGGTTTAAATGCAAGTAGGGCTTGGTGGTGTCCTTTAAATAGTAGCTGGACTTTTGGTAAGCACATGAAGCTCACCAATGATAAATGTACAGCCTTTCACTCAAACAGAATCTGTCTTGACATTGTCATATTTTGCTGTGAACACCATGCACTCTTTTCAGCACCTGTAGACATTTCCCATGCAGGACAAAGGGCACCTCCATTTACTCATCTTTCCTGCGATGCCTTGGAGCTACTTGCTGCTCCTCAGATAAAAGTCAGCTAAGTTGGCAACCTGGGGGAATTGTCACACCTGCAGTCATATGAACAGGGATCAGGCCTAGTAATTGGCTGCTAGTCCCAGGCACTGTCACAGAGCAAATGATCACATGGTACCCAGAAGTGGCAGGTATTCTCACCAGCTGCGGAAAAAGAGGGAGTGCAGGTAAGGTCTCTTTGAAGCTGTTTCAGTAGCTGCCTGCAATCTTGTACTTACACAGAGCAGCTTTACCCATCTACTGCCCATATGCACAAACCCTGCTGTGTCCACAAGTGCCAAAAAGTGTGCGTGGTCCTCACAGGAAATAAGCCAAGGTCCTGCTGAACTGCCAGCTTACAGACTGAATAACAATCTGTGCGTAGGGACGATGCCTTGGGAAGGCAGTAAACACAACGCACTATCTGCTAATACTGTTGGGTACAACTGCAGGTAGCATCTATAAAACTAAATTTCATCTAATCCCAAGAACAAAAGCTGAGTATATTGCAGCTTACTGGTCCCGTTAGATGACGTGCCTGCATTATTTTTTGTTTTCCGATTTGTTTTTCCTTTTCTTTAAATTAAAAAAACATTTCCTGTCCTATGTCTTAATAATATGATTTGGGGGGGGATAACACTGGAAACAGTGCTAATTAAACAGTTAAAGTTTATAAGATTTCTGTCAGGATCATCAGATATGTTTTTGGATTTATCACTCATAAATTGTATATTTCACAGACATAAAGGGAGCAAATAATAAGTAAACCTAAAACGGAAAAAGGGATCAAATAATAATAATAAAAAAAAAATAATAAGTTCATTGTTTGGGGTTTTTATGATGATTCTTTTGTAGCTTCCAGTTACACAAATTGTTTCCCCAGAGTAATATTTCGTAGACACAAAGAGCTCATCAACCAATTAGCAGGGGCGGACTGACCATTTGGAAACTCAGGCACTGCCTGAGGGCAGTAGGGGGCCCCATGAGATGCCCCTGGTACCTTTTTCATAGGCTTTTTTGAGTTTGGGCACAGGGGACACAGGGGCCCCATGATCCCCTATTGCCCGGGGGCCCCATGAGTTGTCAGTCCGCCCCTGCCAATTAGTTTCCATTTGTACGGAGATTTCTGCTCTGTGTACATCATCATGCTGGTAGACTATGCTTTATTGATTTCTGATTTGGGAAAATTAATTGGATAAATCTTTCCACTAAGTCAAGGCTGATTGTACCAGGAGACCTTGTGCTGGGCTTAATCAATAAGGCAATAAAGGCTCTGTACATATTAAGATTTTTCCTTGATCTTTTTTTTCTTGTTATTCGAAATATGGTTATTTGCTATCTAGAAATGGTAAATATATGATATGGTAGATGGTGAATGGTGTGACTACCAGTTTTGGAATCTACGAGATTTTTTTTTTTCTGGGTGGACACAGCTAGCTAAAAATGTAAGGCATCTTATGCTACATTTGTAAACATAAGATTTGTCTGTTTACACCTGCCTACCTCCAATACAATCTGTTCCGCTATAAAAAAAAAAAAAAAAAAAAAAAAAGAGAGAGAGAGAGGATCATCCCCTCCTCGTCTAGACGGATCAGATCAGAGGGCAGTCGGGTGTAAACAGACAGGCAGTCTATTTATACCCAGCCACCCATAGAGCAGAGCGGGCACTGACCTTCTCCACTCCGCTTAAACCGAGCGGACACAGACCTGTCATCTGCCTGCTCTGCTCAGCAGGGGATCATTGGACAGATCCTCTGCTGACCATAACAGTCCACCCCATGTAAGCCCATTTTAACTTTTAGTTTAAATTTGATAATTACACTCCAGATGAATCAAAACAAGGTGTTTGTTTTCATTAGAAAGCAGCCTGAGTAGAAAACCATGCTTCCTGCCCGCATACTATATAGAGAAGGACTTTGTTTTGAAGCAGCAGTCTCTCTGTAGAGGGCCGGCCACACCCCCTGCTTAGTATTCTCCAGTTAGAAGAGAACAGGAGCTTTGTTGATGGCAGAGTTATAGGCCTGACCCAGCGAGAGGTGTTGGAGTGACCACTGTTTCCACAGAGAGTGCAAGGATCCTTCCCCACAGCATGTTGGCACCCTTCTCCACAGCATGCTGGCTTTTTTACTCAGGCTGTGGCAGTTTTTTTGTTTAAAAGAAGCAAGCTCTGAAGCTTTGAAAGCCTTTTGTTTTGATGTATCTGGAATGTATTTAGCAGATCTAAATGGAAAGTTCAGTTTACAGGGAGACTTTATACAAAGAATTGGTGTCCTAAAAAACCAACTCCAACCGAACCATTTTTTTAAAATTTAGTTTTGAATAGCACAGTTGCTGTTGGTAACTCTGTTGGATAGGTTTATTGTCACTTTTTATCCCCATGACCGCAGGGAAAAAAAAAGAGGAGACTGGGGATCACTAAGTCAGGAGTACAACAACATTACCCACTCTGCTTAAATTTAAAAAAAAGAAAAAAAAAGGTGGACAGATTTCCCATCTCTTCATGCCCCTGTGACTCCTGTCACCAGAGAGGCAGGAAGTAGTGGATAATTTCAAAAATGTGGACACAGCAATAAAAACAAACTAACAAAAGTTCTCACACTGTTCAACACAATGTAAGCTCTGTTTAGACTTTCTCACTCTTTCTCATAGGTGAAGTCCTTGGCTGAGTCCATAGATGATGCCCTAACCTGCCGATCTATGCACTGCACGGATCCTCGAGATGAAAAGGGAAGCTTGGAAAAGGGAGAGAGCAAGGAACAACATGACAGCACTGCCACTTCCTTCAGTGATGTCACGCTTTATATGGATGAAGGAGTACCCGTGTCACCTCTTTCTCTTGACCGGCCTCCAAGCTCTGATCAGGACACTCCACAAGGAACTAGTTCACGGCAGGAGTACTGGGCCACCTCTTCCTCCCGGGAAGATAGCCGAGAGAATGGTAGTAGGAGAAGCACGCCCTGCATGGAATGCCGGGACTTCCGTATGAGAGGAGCTCATCTTCCTTTGCTCACTATTGAGCCTCCTAGTGACAGTTCTGTGGACCTAAGTGATAGGTCAGACCGAGGCTCTTTAAATAGGCAGGTTGTTTACGAACAAGAGAACTGCAGCCCACATGGGACTCTTAAACAGGCACCTCACAAAGGACCTGCACGCTCCCCACATCCCCATCGCCATTATCATCCGGAACCTCTGCCTCCTCCGTCAGACTCTGGGGGTGGAAATAATGGGACTTCAGTGGGGGTTGTGGGAGGTGTGGCATGGGAGGGGTGCGACATATGCATCATGGTAAACAGGAACTTGGGGAGAATTCTGATGGTGACAATGAAAGTCTAAACAGCACCACCAACTCCAATGAAACCATCAACTGCAGCTCAGGCTCCTCTTCCCGTGACAGTCTCCGGGAGCCCCCTAATACGCTTTGTAAGCAGACGTACCAGAGGGAAACTAGGCACAGCTGGGACTCTCCTGCTTTCAACAATGATGTGGTGCAAAGGAGGCAATACCGCATCGGTCTCAACCTCTTTAACAAGTAGGTGATGAATACGCCCATCAGCAGAAGTCTTAATAATGGAAGGCTTGTGTAAACTGTGTGGTGGTTGGATAATTGGATGTATATACCGGGTTTTCTTGAGCATGTGTTTGTCTGTTGAATGTCTGTTTATTAGGAGGTTGTTCTGCAAGTTCAGCCCTGAAGTGTATGTGTTGTCAGCACACAATAACCATAATGTTTGGGTGAAATTACATACTATATTAGGCTTTCTTAACTTTTTTACCACACAGGAAATAATTTTTTAGTTCTTTGGAAACCTCTGCAAAAGCATTATATATACAACATGATCAGTAACAATACAAGAATGTGGCATACTTAATGCATTTGACACCTGAGCATGCAATTTTTTTAATACCTCCCTGCTATACGACATGAAATGAAGGAAAGAAACATGGAGAGTTAAAATTGTAATGTTCCTGAATATTGGAGGTCATTGAGGAGTGCTTGCTTACTTTTGTGGTCAGTAAGGAGGTGCTCTTTCATTGACAGTCAGTGGAAGAGGCACTCCATTTCTGGTTAGTAGGAGGGGAGAACCCTTACATTGGGGGTCATTGGGAGAACTGTTCCCTATAACTATATGACCTATATGGACTTGTGTCTTTTTTCAACCTACCTACTGTATGTTATCACTGTGTAAAAACATTGAAGGTCAGTGGAAGATGCGCTCCTTTAAATTGGTGGTCAGTGTCAGAGGTGCATTCTTACATTGGTGGTCAGTGTGACACATGCTCTCTTACATTTGTAATCAGTGAGAGAGGTGTGCCCTTACATTGGTGGTCAGTGAGAAAGGTACTTACACATTGGTGGCTACTGGGAGGAATATGTCTTACATCGGTGGTCTGTGGGAAAAATGGAGGCAGAACTATGCAGACACCATCAGGTGTGATATCATTCTGCCACTGTTCATGAAACCCTAAAACACTCTGGAGAAACCGTGTCACAGGTTGCTGTACAAAAATCTATACGGTCCAATGACAATACTTTAAGAGGGGATATTCCCTAAATTTAAAGCGATTTCTCCTGGCTTCCTGTTTTTTCTTTCTATTGGGGCATAAAAACCCTCTCGGGACTTTTAACCTTTCCCTACTCTACCCAAAGCTAAATTGTATTCCCTATATAATGCCAAACTCTGCTGTCTTTTATTGTATAAGGCCCCATTCACACCTGGGCATTTCGTCAACGTGTAACAATCTCACATTTGGAAACTGCATGTCATGCTACTGGTGCCATTCATTAAAAAAAAAAAAAAACCATACGAAGCTCAGTACGTAAAAAAAAAAAGATACAAGCTACTTTGAGGCGTTTGCAATACATAGGACAGTCCATTGAAATGAATGGCTTGTCCTATACGTGAAGCACGAAAAAATGCACAAAATGTGCTTAAATGCAGTGTGGTTTTGTGCAATACTCCTAGGTGTGAATGCCTAATACCAGACCTAGATTCTTGGAATACAAGCCAATAGTGTCATTTATTAAACTGAGTAGTTATTTAAGTGTCAAATCGCTCTTCCCCTTATTATTTTATATGACATTTTATAGTTCTATTTAACATGCTTAACCTACTTCCCCAGGCCGAAGGATAACATAACATGTTGCTTTTCCAGTGCCTTACTACATCTCTGAAGTTGTTTTGTTATACTTGAACTTCATAACAATCTGCTACTTTAAATGTAGTTTAGTAGGATGCGTTTTCTGACGTTTATTAAGGTGCATTGACTGTGTCCAAAAGTACAGTAACCCAGAGAAACCAAACAAAATATGAAATGTGAAATCTGTCTGATTGTTGTACAGCCACTGGATTCTTTATTAAAGTATAACTAACGGCAAAACATATATATATATTTTTTTTTTTTTGGGATGGGGCAAATCTTCCACTTCCGCACTAATTTTGGTGACACCCTGGAACTACCTCACTTTGGAGGGATTTCCTCTAGCTTCCTGTTTAGGCTATGGGACAGGAAGTCGAGGGAAATCTCCCCAGTGGGATACAGATGGCAAAAAGAAAACTTACATGGGTTACGCTATCCAAAATGGAAAAAAATAAAACGTTTGCCTTTAGTTACACTTTAAACCAAAAGATGAATGTGTCAGATGTAGTAACCTCTAATGATCAGTGACAAACTTTCATTGCATTAAGCTCACAAAAACTACTGGGCCAAAAACCTTGGCTCTTATTGAGTGACCTTGATATGGTTGTTGCTGTGCTCTCTCATGGTGGGCAGAGCCCACTCCTGGCCAGAGGCCAAATGCAAGGATCAAGCCATTTGTAGGGGAAGTCAGAGTTATTCATGGAGATTTTCCAGCTTGTTGAAAAAGATCCAAGCGACCTGGCTAATCCTTCTCACTGAAAAGAGGAGAGGAAGGTGTCACTTATATTTGTGCTGCTTCAGTCCATTGGCTAAGCCTCACAAAGCAGTGCAAATGATGGCCAGTTTCTTGCTATAATAGATATATTTAGTATATATATTCATCATGATGGCAGTAAAGATTGTTAAGCTACAAAAGACAATAAAGAGAACCTGTCACATCACCCAAACAATGTCTCTTCAGAGGTCCCCCTTATTTTCTCCTTACCAGCACTCTAATGCAGTACCTTCCTTTGTAGCAGCCAGGGATACTACCCGGCTATTGGTGTAGGAGGCATAACCATTTTCAAAGAAGTTTAGGCATGTGAAGCATTTGGGTGTTCATTCCACAATACAATACAAATTTATTCTGGCCTTTGAAATGAAAGAACGCTCAAATGCTAAACACACCTAGCATGTAGGAGCATTTACACGCATTTAGGCACATTGGGCATTTTTAGGCACGTTGGGCATTTCTCTCCTGAATGCGATCAGATTTCTGCCTTTATATGCCTATAAATGCCTAAGGGGCAAACCTCAAACACCTGTAAAACAAGTATTTTGTTTTTTTAACTGCAGTGTGCATGAAACCAAAGTGAACCTTGCACTAAAATGCAAGGTCTGCTTAATACATCAGGTCTCCCACCTGGGTACATTATTGCTGTAAAAAAGAGATAAAAACTATAATTGTCTTTCAACTGGTACCATACTGGGTATAGTGTGGTCACAGTCCTTCTGGTGAAATCCTGGGAGTATCCTAAATCTTGGAAGAAGACGCTTTTCCATTTTGCATCATGACATGACCCAGGCGGAAACTGGGTAGAAGGCAACTATATTATACCTTTTAGCCACAGATTTTTTCTTTTTTTTTTTTACTTCATTAATTTGAACAGGCATTAGAGGCTTGATGTACTAAACTGTACATATAGCAAAATATTTTTTTAGTTTTGTCTAGAGCAGGGAAGGTTTAGAACGCCTGTCATGTTTGGGTTTTTTTTAGGGGTTTTTTGGGGGGGGGTTTATCTGTACCTTACTAGGGATATTTATCATCTGTCTCTTGTTGGCTGTTGTCATTGAAAAAGAAAACACTGGGATTTTACAGTTTTCCCCAGGACATAAATATAGAGGTACTCTTTCGATGACTTACTCTTTCTCTAAGACAGGAATTGCCCTCACTTTGTAGAGATTTCTTCTAACTTCCTGTTTTGTCAGGTATTGAAAGAAAGTCTCCACAATTAGACAGGAGTAAGGTGAGTATTACTCCTGATCCCTGTACCCCTAGACTAAATGAGTGTGCCCTTCTGCAAGGGTAGATTGTGAAAAAATTCTGGAGTTCTGCTTTAATATCCTTGATGTACAAATTATTATTATACAGGATTTATATAGCGCCAACAGTTTGCTCAGCGCTTTACAATATAACGGGAGCAATACAGTAACAATGCAGTTCAATTCAAGAGGGTTAGGAGGGCCTGATCCTTGGAGTTTACAATCTAGGACGGGTGTCGGCAACCCGCGGCTCCAGAGCCGCATGCGGCTCTTTTTCATCTTTGCTGCGGCTCCGAAGCACACTGCCCACCAGGTGAAAGGCAATAGGGTTTCAGTGGTCGGCAAGCCGCGGATCGCAAGCCACATGCGGCTCTTCTGTGTGCCGGGCGCCCGCTCCCCTCCCTCCTCTCGGGCGGCCGCCTCAAAAGTCAGGACTCTTTTAATCCGGCCCACGGAGCGTGGAACATTAGCTGTCAGGATGTAGTCGGGGCAGCCAGGATGTAGGCGGGGCAGCGTGACGAACTCCTCTCACAGTCCGCCCTGAAGACCGGAACACAGCGCGGGAACACAGCGAGAGGAACGCGCGGAGCAAAGGTAAGTGAATTGAGACAATATGGGGAATTAATTACTATAGGGGGGGATGAATTACTATGGGGGATGAATTATTATATGGAGGATTAATTACTATGGGGGATGAATTACTATGGAGGATGAATTACTATATGGGGGATGAATTACTATATGGAGGATGAATTACACTATGGAGGATGAATTACTATATGGGGGATGAATTACTATATGGGGGATGAATTACTATATGGGGGATGAATTACTATATATATGGGGGATGAATTACTATATGGGGGATGAATTACTATGGGGGATGAATTACTATGGAGGATGAATTACTATATGGGGGATGAATTACTATAGGGGGGGGATGAATTACTATGGGGGATGAATTACTATATGGGCGATGAAGCTAACTGCACGATCCTGTATATAGCATTAAGGTAAGAAACAATATATGCAGTGTCGGATTTGTTTTAAATGTTGCAATGGTTTTGTGGCTCCCAGTCTTTTTTTTTTTTCCCTTCGGAAACGGGTCCAAGTGGCTCTTTATGTCTTAAAAGTTGCAGACCCCTGATCTAGGAGATCATTAATATAGTATGGACCGTGTATTGTGAGTTGAAGCTCGATAAAAGCTGTTTTGGTTGCTGACTCATTGGGAAGTTGCAGATTCCACATGGTAAACAAGCCAATAAAGCTGCCATGATAGTATTTTTGACATTCCTGGTGTCAGACTAACAACTGCTTGTGAGTAAAAAATATTTCTCCTGCTTAGTCATTGAGATACTTGTGTCCTTTATTTTCTGATCCCGTAACTTGAAGTCTTCCAGTCTGGATATTGTATACGCCCAGCTGTGGTTCAGCTGTCATTGCTTAGCTTGTTCTAACAGGCATGCCTGCTTAGCCCCTTAGCTTACTTTTTTTTATAAAGTCTGTGGGAACTTTAGAAAAGTTAGCAGTAGCCCATAGCAGCCATAAAATATAACCGGCCTCTGGAGAAGTAATTACATTTGTATAACAAAGCTGTCAGCCAAGGGCTGCAAACCGTTGAACCAGGGCCTTTTATTCTTTGCAAAGGGGACTCAAGCAAATAGGAGATTTTGTTTGTTTTTTTTCTTGGAAACCCCACTTCAGTTTTCAAAGATAGATGTTAAGAACTGAACTAGAATCGCACTGAACGCTGCAAAGGGAGTTAACAAAGGGTGGCCCAAGCACCATATTTGCACCACTCTTCTAAATATAAAATTAGTGCAAATGCAGAGGGGCACAAGCCCCTTTATTGATTATGGACAATCAGTTCTCTGTTCTGTGGCTGTGACAGATACATCACACAGAACTGCATGTTCCAATATCTCTGCCTGTCTCCAGCTCAGCTCCGAGCAAGAGAGAGGAGGAAGGTTGGTAACCCTGCAGACTCTGCTCCTCTAGTCTAATCACTGCACAAGCAGAGAGAGGGACATGAGTTGTTTGATAACTGACATCCAATACAACAAGGGTTCACTTCACCTGGTGGGAATCTACAGCAGTTTTCTGTATAGATATCTGCTGCATTCTCTATAGTCTCCATTTAAAGTGTCACTAAAGGCAATAATGGGGGTTGATTTACTTAAAGTATAACTAAAGGCAAACTTTTTTTTTTTGTTTTAGATAGAGTAGAGAGAGCTTAGAACCCCTGTCAGGTTTTATTGCTCTCTATCTCTATTTTCCCTGTTTACTGTTATCATCGAAAGTAAAAGAAAATCCCAAATTTTGGGTTGATAGAACAGGAATGAGGGGAAATCTGCCAATGGGAGACTAGTTTTGGTGACCGTGATGACACCCCTGGATTCCCTCACTTTGGAGGGATTTCCTCTCACTTCAGTTTTAGCTATGGGTCAGGAAGTGCAGGCAAATCACCCCAATGGGTTGGCAAAAATAACTGACCAGGGTTATAGCCCTTCCTTACTTTATCTAAAATGAAAAAAAAAAAAAAAAAGTATCGCCTTTTTACACTTTAACTCTGAAATAGAAACTGGTACAGGCAAAGCAGGTCGAAGCACCGCTCCTGACAGTGTATGGTGCAGGGAGCTTAGTTTAATTGCCATGTGTGTGTCTCTGGTACAGATGTTGAAACTACTGAAACAGTGGCTATATGGTTTAAAAGGGTTGTCTATTTTTTGGACAATGGTTCCAATAGTAACAATTTCCGTAGAAAAGTTAAAGTGCACCTCTAGTCAAAACTTTCATTTAGTTTTGGAGAGTGCAATAAATGGTTAGAACCATTGTCACATTTTTGCTGTCTGTGTCCCATCAGGGAGGTTTCCCTTCACTTCCTGTCCAGGAGATACACCATGAAATGAGAGGAAATCTCTCAAATGTAAGGTGAAATCCCACTGAGCGAAGTGCAAACTTCAGTACCCATAACAAGCAAACAGAACCCAGTATATGCTGAAAGGATTTCAGAATTGCTATTGGCCCTTTTAGTTTCAATATTACCAAACCATAGAGCGCACCTTTAATATAATGCATAGAACCCCACTACTTTGTATGCAGGGCTGGTTTGCTTGTGTATACTGATTTCACACTGTCTTGTTAAGAACACACATATATAGCAGTCACCTTTACTTTTGTATAAAAGGTAACAACATTTTTTTATTGTTTAGAAATGTTATGCATTGTATCTGTTATATAGTTTGTATACATATTTTCTTTTCTTTTCTTTTTTTTTTTTTTGTTTAATTTGGACTTGATACATTTAATACTATTTAAATATAATGCATATATATATATATATAATTATTTTTGCTTGCAGAAAACCAGAAAAAGGAATTCAGTACTTGATTGAGAGGGGCTTCCTATCTGATACCCCTGTGGGGGTAGCGCATTTTATCCTTGAAAGGAAAGGTCTGAGCCGACAAATGATTGGAGAGTTCCTTGGAAATCGCCAAAAACAGTTTAACAGAGATGTCTTAGAGTAAGGAAATTCACATCTTTGATCTTACAAATGTGAAACTCAGACATTTTACTTTATTTTTTGTGTTTGATATTTTGGATCACTATTTGGACACAGTATGCTGGACTGTGAGGACACTTGTGTTTTTGGGTTAGAAGGTGTGATTGTGTAGATAGGCTTTACAGTGAATGAGCCTGGATTGCTCAAAAGTGAAAAAAAAAAAAAAATATTTGAAAATCCCTTTTACAAGTTGCAGTCACTGTTTGGGTATTCTGACAACTGCAAGTGCCAGCTGTCACAATACAAAAGCCAGCAGAGGAAATGTTGACATGCATGCTGCCGTGGACGGAGGAATTGAGTGATTTCTCTCTTTCAGCTCAGAAAGTGGAGCGTGTATGGCCAACTAGCATAACACTAACAAGGGGAGGAGAGGTTGAAAAAGACAGTTTTCCTGATTTGTCTACACCTGGAACCAGCATCTGGAAGTTTAGGAAAACTGTCACACAGTCCTCTGCCAGTAGTTCAGTTCTAGGTGTACAGACCTGAAGTGAGTGAACTGGACATCCACAGTAAAATCTTCCACCTGCAAACTGTACAGTGGAATTTTATTATTCAGAAAATAAGTCCTGCTAGATCGCTTCAGGCTAACCCCTTTTGCAGGTATACAGTAGCTACATAAAACATTAAAAATAAGTGCCTATACTGTTTAAAGTACAGTGATACACTGTCTCACCCTGCTCTGCACATGCTCAGCTTCTCTCTATCTCAAATTTGTAGAGGCCAATCTCTGAGATTCTAAAGATTTACTGCTACTCAGGGGCTCTGGGCTTCAGCCAAATAGTGGCGGCCCCCATAAGAAGAAGCAGGAACAATGTTAGAGGCAATTTACAGCACACTCTAATTTAGGTAGCAATAATGTGGAATGTATGTTTCTTGCTAAGGAACATTATTTTTGTTGCTATGGGTAATGTTCCACTTTAACAAACTGCGGCAAGAGGGGTATCAACGAGGTCCCAGTTGGATGGCAGTCTTGAATTTTATTATACAGGAGAATTCTATTACTGTCCAGAGATGGAGAATTGAGACTCTAAAAGGCAAAGCAATGGAGCTCTTGGGTTCCATGTCTGATGCATGTATTGTATAAATCTATAATAGGATAGATTGTTTTTGTATCTTTATCATGACTGACTGCCTTGTACTATGCTTTATTGCAGCTGTGTGGTGGATGAAATGGATTTCTCAAACATGGATCTGGATGAGGCATTGCGCAAATTCCAGGCTCACATACGTGTTCAGGGAGAGGCACAGAAGGTGGAAAGGCTCATTGAGGCTTTCAGGTGAAGTGTTTCTGCATTGGAGATATTGTTTCTGTGTTTCTGGTCCTTGTATTCTAACATCTGTACTCTTTTAATTATTTCCAGTCAGCGTTACTGTGTATGTAACCCGGCCCTGGTTCGTCAGTTCCGTAACCCAGATACCATATTCATCCTGGCATTTGCCATTATTCTCCTCAACACGGATATGTACAGCCCGAGCGTCAAACCAGAGCGCAAGATGAAGCTAGATGACTTCATCAAAAACCTGCGTGGTAAGAAAGGATAATCCCATACAGATAGGGATGAACTTGTAAACTCCCAGTGGGAGATATATTCTATAAGGGTGAAAACTAAACAGCAACCCACTTAAGACTACCCTGTACAAGACAAGTGACATCTGGGGGAACACTATGGGAAGCCCTTCCAACCACCTCAGTTTTTAGCTATACCGCCAAGGTGACCTAAACACTCATTTAACTGCACATTTATTACATTTGACAAATTTGAAAATGATTATCGTTTTTTCTGAAAAGTATGACTATGATTCAGGAGATCCCAGCTTAAGAAAAGCCAGGCCTGTAGCATCCTATGCTTTTTTTTAAATCCTGAAGCTGTCACTTGGGCCTGCCCCTCTGTTACAATGATGATACCGGGAGTAAAACTCTGTGTTGTGATAGTTTATTCACAATAACTGGTTTAGGAACCGTATAATTAAAAGCATCAGATGGTAAAGGCTGGCATGTTCTGAAACAAAGGGTTGCTTCAGTACAGATTTATATTTACAGAAAAACTGCAAATTGGAAATCCACAGAACATATGATGTGTGTTTCAGTGTGTAATGTTAAAAGAGAAGTACATATCATACTCGCCGATTCATCTGATGCTGCATCTGTCCCCACCACCTCTAAGACAAAGAGCTGTCAGTCACCGGCTCTCTGTTCTGCCCCTTCACTGGAGCACAGGACTGTGGAGGGGGCAGGAGTGGCTGGCTCAGGCTCTAACTGAGAGGCTAAACTAGCTGTCAGTCAGGAATCTTGGTGGATGCTGACATTTAAGTTGGGATCTCTTCAGAGCCTGGACCAGCTCATTGACGTCAGCTGACGGTGGACTTTAGACCGCTGTCAGCTGAATACGGGTCACAGGAGCCAAAAGAGCTTTGGTCATACTTTAAAAAAAAAAGTTAAGCTTTAAGACACGCTGCTAGACCATTCAAAATGAAAGCCACACACAGACATCATGTCCTCCCATGCTGTATTATTAATGTTTCTATATAGATACTGAAATATGTCAAACATTCTTTCATAGGGGTGGATAACGGAGAAGATATTCCCAGGGATCTGCTTGTTGGAATATACCAGAGAATCCAGGGTCGGGAATTGAGGACGAACGATGATCATGTATCTCAGGTGCAAGCTGTGGAGAGAATGATTGTCGGAAAAAAGCCAGTAAGAAAATTATTTACTTTGTTAAAGTTTTCTGACTACGTAGACAACTGTAATAATTCTTACAGTATACCACTTGACACTTGTCTTCCCTCTGCAGGTTCTTTCTCTTCCACATCGCCGTCTCGTTTGCTGCTGCCAACTCTACGAGGTCCCAGATCCCAACCGCCCCCAGAGGATGGGTCTGCACCAGAGGGAAGTCTTCCTCTTCAATGATCTTCTGGTGGTAAGTAAGGCTTTGTTGCATTGGTATGTATGGTGAGTGCAAATTGTTCCCAGCCAAATGTAATGCAAGATCTTTCTTCAATTTACAGGTCACAAAAATTTTCCAGAAGAAGAAGATATTGGTTACCTATAGCTTCCGGCAATCCTTTCCACTGGTGGACATGCAGATGCAGCTCTTCCAGAACTCATGTGAGTCATGTTGCCTGCAAAAGGATCATGTGCCAATAACGAAACAGGGTTTGTTGGTTTCAGGAAGAGTGGTCAGGTCTTCACTTGGTGATCCAAAATAATGATTTATTTATTTATTACAGATACTTATATGGCGCCGTCAATTTACGCAGCGCCAGCGCTTTTACATATATATTGTACATTCACATCAGTCCCTAACCCTCAAGGGGCGTACAATCTACGGTCCCTAACTTACATTCATACATACACATACTAGGGCCAATTAAGACAGGATCCAATTAACCTACCAGCATGTCCTTGGAGTGTGGGAGGAAACCGGAGTACCCGGAGGAAACCCACGCAGGCACAGGGAGAACATGCAAACTCCAGGCAGGAGGTGCCGTGGCTGGCATTCAAACCAACGACCCTAGTACTGCCAGGCGGAAGTGCTAACCATTTAGCCACTGTGCTGGCTGCCCCACTCTTACTTCTGCTGTTCAGTGCCATTCAAATAACCAGCCTGGTTTATGACTGCCAATATGTGTCATTTCACATGCCTGGTCAATGTCCAGTGTCTTTGACCAATGTGACTCAATGTTGTGCCTCTTGGAGTTTTCAAAACAATGTGTCCATGTATGGTTGAATCAAAGAACATTTGTATTATTGTAGGCATTTTCACAGCCCAGGACAATTTGATCATCTGGGATGGATTGATCTGCCCAATTATGATTGTTAGTGAAAGCTCTCTCTCTCTCTCTCTCTCTTGTTCTGTCTTCATTAGCAGAAAAGAGGAAGGTTCAACCAATGTCAATTTGCAAGTTTGTACAGAAACAATTGAGTACTGTCCGTGATACTTTTTTATTTCAACTAACATTTTTAGGACAAGCTTTCGGGGTATGTCCCCTTCTTCAAGGTCCAAGCAGTACTACTTCAGTTTTAGCATAAAATTAAACGAAACAATCTGTGAGGGAAAGAAAAAAACATACAAACAAATTTATATGGCAATGGTTATAAAACTAGGATTAGACTAGAGATAAGACGGGGCAAAAGCTAAGGGGGGGGGGGGGGGGGTTAGGTTGAGGATGAAGGTCACAGAGGGGGATGTAAAACTGTTGACTAGTGAGTGAGAAAACCCATGTCGAAATTAAGGCCGTTATCTTTTGGATCAAATAGAAATATCATTCTTAGATCCAAAGTCTTTCTTTCCAGGATTGGTTTTGAAATTCCCTTTAAGAACTAAGATCTTGAGATCTTCTATAGTGTGGTCCGGTTGTGCGAAATGGTGTCCCACAGGTGTGCAGAACTCCTCTTTTTTTGTTCCTTGATGGTATGTCTGTGCAAATTCATCCTTGTTCTCAACTTCTGTCCTGTTTCACCAATGTAACATCCTTAGCTACATTTTTTGCACTGGATAAGGTACACAACATTACTGGAGGTGCAGTCTTTGCTTTTGCTTGTCTTTGTTTTATATCTAGTCTAATCCTAGTTTTATAACCATTGCTGTGTACATTTATTTGTGTGCATGTATTTTGGTTTTTTTTTTCCCCCTCAGATTATTTCTTTTAACATTCTGCTAAAACTTTGTGAAGTAGTACTGCTTGGACCTTGAAGAAGGGGACATACCCCGAAAGCTTGTCCTAAAAATTGTACGATAGTGCAAATAAAAAAAGTATCACGGCCAGTACTCAATTGTTTCTGTCGCAATTGCACTAATACGGCAACAATCACCTCAAGCAAGTTTGTACAGAGATAGTTAAGTGGCTGAGCTGTGCTACTAGCCACTGTCTAATGTTTGTACGTTCACACTTGCTTTGATCTCTGAAGAGCAATCCATGTTCGGATCGCTGTTCAGAGAAAGAGACAGACTGTTTCCCTGCTGTTTGTCTATACTACCAGACTGGAATTATAACGCTTAAGATTTTGCACATTTGTCCTTATGGTTTAGCTTAATAGCACACAAAGATATGTCTATTTATAAAAAAAATATACATAGCTGTCCAGTGAAAGTGCATTTGCTAAGTGCGAAGAGAGACAAAAGACAAAGGTTGTAAGGCTATTTCCTGTGCTGGTCGATCGTTTTTCATTGATTTTAAAAGGGAGAATACTGCATTTGGCCATTAAATTATGCTGCTTAGCGCCATCTAGTGGCCAAGTGCACTATGACGTAAACCAATAAAAAGCAATCAACAAGCTCAGGAAATCGCCTAATTTTCAAACATTTTTGCACCCATTTACACAGATGCACCTTCATGCACTTTGTTACATTAAAGCACAGTTTGCAGCTACTCTGTGTTAGAAATGCCCTGCCTGTCTGGCCTGCAGCTAATACTATCACTTATTTAAGGTATGCATATGTCTGTGTGGAGAGTAGCACCCGGTCTCAAAATGTATAAATTGTGATCATTTTTAAATAAGGATTTTGTTTCCCTCTTCTGCCTATATCTGAACATGTGTGACTATATTCAGAAAGAGAACTGTAGGAGATAAGAGAGGAGTCAAAAGGCTTTTTAAGTGAAACATGAAGCAATCGTTCTTTTCTATAAACCAGACCAGACCCCATGCTGCTTTCAATTGCACATTCTAGCAGTAGGTTCCTAAAAATAACCTCATGATACAGAGCAAAGGATGTCCTCATTCAACATGATTCCCTTTACTATAGGATGATTGTATTGTGCTTGCTCTTCCCGTGAATACTGTGCTGTCAACTCTTTGTAAATACTATACTAGAATTCCTTTATATTTAAATGTATAAGAAAAATTAATAATAGCGCCTATGGTCAAAATTATATAACTTACTAATAGTGTACCAGCTGCACTATATTATATATTATTTTATTTAAATGTATAGACAGAAAACTGAGCATAGAATTAACAAATATGGGAATATCATCATTAAGTGAGACTTAAGCCAAAGCTTTTTTTAGTTTTAGATTAAGAGGTGCGGTGTTAGAACCTCTGTCATGATTTTATTGCCATCTCTGTCCCCACTTGGGAGATTTTGCCTTTCCTTGTGACCACTGTCACTGGGACTGAAAGTAAAATGTTGAGTTGTTGGCAGTACAGAAATAGAGGGAAATTTCCCCTCCATAGATGGGATTTCCCTCAGACAGGGATCCTCTCACCTCCTGTTGTATCTGTAGGACAATCTCCTCAATGGGACACAGACAGCAGAAAACCATCCCTACTACATACAAATTAAAACAAAAAACAAAACTTTGGCTTTTAATAAACTGTAAAAAACATTGGAGGTCATTTGGTCTTTGCATGCTGCAATATATCACAACAGATTAAAAAAGACACTTGGAACTGTATTACTCATCCATCCACGAGCTTTTGTTTTGAAGTGAGAATTATTGCACATACAGTATATTTTTAGAATGTCTGACACCATTCTCAACTGTTCACTTTGATTTTTGGGCTGCATTTATAGTTCTAATTTAATTTGAATCTTACTCATGATCTATCTCCTACCAACAGATTACCAGCACGGAATCAAATTACTTTCTGCTGTTCCTGGTGGTGAGAGGAAGGTCCTAATAATCTTCAATGCTCCAAGCCTCCAAGATCGGCTGAGGTTTACCAGCGACCTACGAGAGTCCATTGCAGAAGTTCAGGAAATGGAGAAATATAGAGTTGAATGTAAGTGTATCAGATGTCCTTGTAGACTTCACTGCCTAAACCCTTGACAATTAAAGGATAGCTGTGTATTCAAAAGCACAGTGGGTTGTTTAATGTGAGGCAGAATCCACAGAGCTCAACAGAAAAACAAACTGAGTTTAAGAAGAAGTAGAACTAGTCTTGAAAAAGGCTCCCTCCCCTACAAACTCCTGTTCTGACTAACTTGTATAAGAAAGATCTGCATACTTATTTTCAGGCCACTCTGGTCTGGTCTCTTGATCCAGCTGCCCTATGTCAGCCAATGGCAGCTGCAGGGAAGAGGAGGGAGTGGGAAACATCAGCTGGGGCATAGGATTCTATGGGTGACATTACCAGTCCCAGGTATTTCAGATGTTGACTGCTCTCTCCTCTCCCCAACAGCCACTGCTGGCTGACACAGGGGAGATCACATGATTGATCTGGAATGACCTGATAATAGGCATGTACGTATATCTTTCTTACATAGCATAGTCAGCATAGTTGTTAAGAGGTGGGATAGACATTTGTAAGATTAGTTAAGGTTTGTCAGGGCCAAATAACAAAGAAAAAAACCATATACACTCACCAGCCACTTTATTAGGTCCACCTTGCTAGTACCGGGTTGGACTCCCTGTTGCCTTCAGAACTGCCTTAATTCTCTGTGGCATAGATTCAACAAGGTGTTAGAAACATTCCTCAGAGATTTTGGTCCATATTGACTTGAGTTACTGTTGCCTTTCTATCATCTCGAATCAGTCTGCCCATTCTCCTCTGACATCAACAAGGCATTTTTGTCCACTCAACTGCTGCTCGCTGGATATTTTCTCTTTTTTGGACCTCTGTACACACTAGAGATGATTCTGTGTGAAAAATCCCAGTAGATCAACAGTTATTGAAATACTTAGACCAGCCCCTTTGGCACCAACAACCATGCCACGTTCAAAGTCACTTATCCCCTGTCTTCCCTAGTCTGATGCTCGGTTTGAACTTCAGCAAGTCATCTTCACCACGTCTACATGCCTAAGTGGCCAGTGAGTGTGTATGTGTGTATATATAATATATATGAAAGAAAAAAAAAAACATCTCTGCCATACATGCACATTTGCCCAGGTTTTATTCCTTTAAGATCACTGCAAATACACAAAAATACCTGTTTATCAGCCAGAAATCCTGTGAATGCCTAACTTCCTGTTTGAGCTGGCACAACGGGGTTGATTTATTAAAGGCAAATAGTCTGTGCACTTCCAAGTGCAGTTGCTGTAGATCTGAGGTGAAGCTCTGAAATGAAGGGGAACTCTGCTGATTTCTATATTATCCAATCATGTGCAAGCAAAACTGCTGTTTTGTTATTTTCCTTGCATGTGATTGGGTATTCTTTACAAAGTAAAGCTTTACCTCATTTACTAAGCTCTGGAGCAGCTGCACTTGCAGTGCACAGTATATTTGCCTTTAGTAAATCAATCCCTGTGTCCTTAGGGCACTGAAATCCCAACCTCAGTGTTGTCAGCCTGTATTACAGAACTCTGCCTATTCCCTGTGCCCCTGTCCACATGCATTGCTTTCTCATATCCAGTAACAGTGCAGTTCAGGATGGAAGAATAGGCAAAAGAATCTCTACATTTATTTACTTAAGCTTGTAATACTCCTTGTGGACCAGAGAAATTTATACTATAGTTTATTTGGGGATAGTTTTCCATTAGAGATGCACCGCCACTGCCATGGTGCTGACCAATCAGAAGCCGTTTAGCCCATCCCTTTGAAAAGATGAGGCAATTTGGATTTCATGGATTTCAAAACCCCAGACCTGTGAAGCGGCTTTATCTCTTTCTTTCTCCTTGCATGGGTGACAGTATGGGCTAGACAGCTTCTGTATGGTCAGCAACGTGGTGGTGCTGACCAATCAAAAGCCATACCCCTACTGTCATCCCTGCACTGAGGGGAGAGAAGGCCGCAGGGATTTCAAATAACCCCAACTTTTCCTTCTGTGACAGCATAGGCTTCTCTATGACAAGCCTGGGTTCAAACAGGAGCAGTATGGGAAACCTGCATGCGATTTGCACAGGAATTGCATTCCTGTTCAAATTAAATGCAATTTTGCGGTGCAGGTTACATCCATACATTTTGTATTGGTATCGGTGAGCACTTGACTGAACGTATCGTACTTTTACTCGCCAATCAAAATAGGGTATCAGTGCATCCCTACTTTCCAATAATTTAAGTAGTGATAAATACCTTTTTTTTTTCTTTTCCTTTTTTTTTTGAATGGATGGACAAACAAGGCTTTCTTTTGAAAAATGTTGTCCTGGAAAAAATGATTTTATTTTTTCTATGTTGAGAAGTGTTACATTTAAAATAAGTAATATTACTCAAGATAACAAAGTGTATTCTGTAATTTGACCCTTCATGGTATGGAGCATTTTTTTGTGTAAAATTAGGTGAGTGAAATTTAAAAAAAAAAAAAAAAAAAAAAAAAAAGGAATACATATTATTCATTAGCGCTGCTTAGTGTTATGAATGCTTTTTATTAAAAAAGAAATAACACAATTTTTATTTTATACTTGTTAGGTTGCTTTTGCTGCTGTTTCCCATTGTTACATTGTATTTGCTCAATGAGCCTGCAAGTGAATCTGCATTTTATGTGATACGTAGCAAGTTTGACATCTGGGAGCTGGTATTGTTGGGGGGAGAGGAGCTGGATGTAGGAGACATGCCCTAGAAACTTTGTTAAAGTTATTTAGGGAGTATCTCCTACACCAAAATTGGTTAAAAAAAACAACTTTGTTGTTTTACATAAATAAATTACATTATGTTTTACTCACTCAGTGTCTCCACTTGTTTTTTAGCTGAACTAGAGAAGCAAAAGGGGGTAATGCGCCCCAATACATCTCCTGGGCCAGGGATGAAGGAGGCTGTGAATGGCACTCTAGGGCGGCCGAGTCTGGACGACACATATGCACTAGGGGAAGGACTGAAGAGAAGTGCACTGAGCAGCTCATTAAGAGATCTTTCTGATGTTGGTGAGTATTGTTCTAGCTCCACCAATCACATTTCATTTATTCACACATGAACATGTTCATTCCATGTTTAGATATGTCTTCATAGACTGATGTGTACCTGAGTCTGTCATCCTTTGGGAAAAAACAGGGACCGAATGAAAATTGTACCTGTAGACCAGTCATATCATTTTTTTGTGGGTGGGAGCCATAATTTGGATTGCAGACTGTTTATCCGATGCACAGTGTTTCAATATGTTTAATAGGACAGGTTGAATTTTACCAAGTATAAGTCTTACAAGACTCCAAAACAACTATGTTCACTTTTTTTTCTTTTTTTTTTTTGCGCTCCAGATTTTTTTTACGGCTATAAGATCTGCTGTTAGTAAAGCATTGCAAAGAGCAGTAGCAGAGTAAATCCCTTTATACGGATTTGTCAGTATTGGGACAGCTGCCATTGCTGACTTACTATGCAGAGTGCAGGCTTCAAACTCTCACCCTTATACTGAGTCACTGACCCTTTACTGGCTGCTTCTTTTTGACTTGTCATGTAGAGTAGCTAGAGTAAGGAGAATAGCCTCAAAACTTGCACCAGCAACACAAGACCGCAAAAGCTGAATCCGAATTCTGCTTAACAGGTTCTCTTATTAATCTCCCGGTCGCTATATTGGGTGACTTTAAGTATCCTAGCTTATAGCTGAATGACTGATGGAGTAGTGGTGCAGGCCCAAAGAGAATTACATAGACAGCCAGCCATTGCCCTACTCTCCTGCTGCATAGTGCGAGTGAAGCAGCCATCATCCCTCTGCTCTCTCCCCTTGTCAGCATTGCAGCATACATTATTGGCAAATAGCGGTGGCCCTCCATCTATCAGGCTTGTATACATACACTGACATCTTCATCACTAGGAAAACCAAGTGCAGCATTAAAGGATAAGTTCACCTTTAAAAAAAATAAATCAGAGCAGGACCCTGTAAAGCATTTCACCTGTGATCAGCAGATAGCGGTTGCAATGTGAGGCTCCTGCAGGCTCTCAGTGTAGCTGTCTGTCCGTACCTCCAATACAGGCAGGCAGTTACTTCAGTCCCGGAAGAATCAATAAACTATGCGCATGCTTACCAGCGTCCTCACAGTTCAGTGAGAAAGCCACAGAGGCTGTTTGTACTTGTAGTCTAATAATTCACCGAACTCTGTGAATGAAGGATGTGGATCTGCACGATCGCTCTCTTTTCAGATTGTGACAGAGGGTGTAGGGAGAAGATCCCTGGCTGCTGTCACAAAGAAGGGGCAAAGAGGGGGAAGGGGCGGGGGCTGTATTAGTGAGAACATGTTACACGTTCTACCCTAAAAAATAGGTGGAACATGTAACATGTTCCCAAAGGTGAACTTATCCTTTAACCCTCCCCTCTCTCCTGTTTCACAGTATTGTTCTTGTGCTCTTTAATAAATACGGCATAAAGACGGCTCTCATAGATGAGGGAAGAATACAAGTGTTGTCGGTGTTTATGCTTTTAACCAGTGCTGGTATGACAAGTCCTTATTCTATAAAGCTGGTCTTTGCAGTGGTTTACCAGGAAGGAGTTAATGTATCTCAGGCAATGGAAAGTAAATTCAGCTTTGAATGAATTGCCAGTCCAGGGAATGAGGGGATAGAGCCATACTGCAAACTAAGCAAAACTAAAGCTCATGTTTTTCCTATTTTCCAGCTGTGAGCTACATTATCTTTCCCCCCCCCCCCCCCCCCCCCCCCCCCCCCTAGAAAGAGCTTAATAATGCACTGGTTCAACATGCTTGACAGTGCTGATAGTGTGATTTTATATTTGATAAATAATCTATGCTGAATTGGTTGCAATGTGCTCATTGGTGGGTTGATCTGCGTAATACTTTATGTAGGGGTTTGCCGCCACCTAGTGGGAATGCTGCAGCACAGTAGGCCATTAACAGATCATGGCTTGATGGCAGGAGTTGCGTGGGCAGGCATGTATGTAGATTGTCGCTAGAGAACTTGCAGTACAGCAGGCAGTTTCTCAACAGCTTGTAGTCCCTTGGGGTGTAAAAGATGTGCTTTGTATCCAGGCAGCATGCCTTGTATTCTGTGTTTCATATTTCTCACTGTTATCTACATTTGTCTACCTTCTACCTGGTGTGTTCTCATTCCCATGCGCATGCATCTGTCCTCACTTATCTGAATCTATCAGTTAGTCCTACCTTGTTTATCCTATGGCATTTCCTTCTTGCCCACCTTTTTACCCATCATATCTACCTCTTTCTTCTTCTTCTTCTCCTGTCCCTTAATGCTTGCTTCTTACTAACTTGGTGCTTAGGTAAGAGAGGGAGGCGTAACAGCGCTGGATCTCTGGACAGCACCATTGAAGTAAGTGATGGGACCAAGCTGCATGTTTTGTGCTGTAATGTGTCTGCCTCCTAACTAGAGGCTCTGCGGTGTGTTGGTTAGTTGCTATGTTCATTATGTTGTTTTACAGGTTGAAGGTTCAGACCACAAATAGCTGATATTTTAGTTGAATAAAATTCCCCACCTTTTTTTTTTAATTACACTCTCTCTATATCTGTCTGCTACTTCCACTTCCACCTGCCACTCTCCATGCTGAATTTTTTGATACATTACAGCAATGACCACAAAACAGAGACTTGCATTGGGACCATGTTAGACTTATGATCCTATCACTGTTAGGTACTTGCCAGCAATAGGATCACTAAAAGCCCTTTCTTATGCTGCCTAAAAAGCTTTAACTCACTGAAAAGGAAACAGTAAAAAAGTGGCATATCACAGGTTCAGCAAGCAAGGTAGGGATACTATAGAAGCAGGTGAGTTCTCGCCATAGCTTGACTTAGGCCACATTCGCACGATCGATTTGGTCTGTTGCGGATGACAGCAGCAGAAATCTGGTTTTGCCACCGAGAGGTGGCTAGCTCGTGCGTATGTGGCTTTAGCCCTGAGGCTACTCGATGTTCTATTGGTGGGGCGACTTACAAAGGTTTTCCTTATTATGATTCACTGGCTCTATAACCAAAATATCAGTTTGGATGGCCTGACTCCTTTAACTTTGTGAGAGTAGGTCTAGCTGTGCATGTAGTTGTAATGTACCCATAGAGTTGGCACTAACTTGCATTGTTTTTTTTTTCACCTTCTAGGGGTCTATCATTAGCAGCCCTCGTCCTCATCAGCGACTTCCAGCTCCACCACCTCCTCCTCCTGAGGAGTACAAGGCTCCTAGACCTGTCTCCAATTCTTCCTCTTTCCTGGGATCTCTGTTTGGAAGTAAAAGAGGAAAAGGACCTTTCCAAAATTTGCCTCCATCTTCACTGCCACCTCACCCCCACACTCCACCAGGAGTTGATGGACAATCCAAGATCCAGGCTCTTCATGCTCAGTACTGCCACAACCAGGGGCCGCTAGCTCAGCCCCCACCACCCTATCATTCTCAGCCACCAGCCTCTGCGCCACCTCAGCAGCCTCCTCAGCCACCTTCTCATCGTTACCACGTGCCACCATCCTCAGCTCAGTTCACATTGCAGCGTCCAAACCAGCAAAAGAGGCCAGCGGTGGGAGGGCCACCCTTGACCCCCAGCTCCCCCCACCCACAATACACCCTGCATGGCAGACACCCGTCAAACCAGCCTCAGTCCCCCTTACCTATGTATGGATCTGCACCCCAGCATGCCATGACACACACTTTCCCCCAGCATATGCACCAATCCATGCAGAAGCAGCCCCCCAAGCACTTTGTTTTTAGTCATCACCCTTCTCAAATGCCCCCTCAACAGCAACGCCCCCCACAGTCTCAGTATAATCCGCAACATCCATTGCAGCATAACCAGTCCCCTTGCTCACCATTGTCACCTATCCCACCACATCCTTCTTACCCTCCTCTTCCTCCACCATCTCCACACACACCTCACACGCCATTAACTCCTCACTCTCCACTGCCTCCAACTTCCCCTCTGCCCCAGCATGCTTCCCATCACCCTATGGGGACAAATTCATCCCAAGGCAATCCAAAACAAAAACCAGTCAACAGAATCAGTACGGTGGTGTGAGAGCCTGGCCGACCTCTTGTTTACAGCAAGGGGCAACCATACATACAGAAAGTGCAGGAACTGAAATGGGGGAACAGCATGCACATGGGGGACTGCATCTAAAGTCCCGTTGTTCCTTCCCCAGCTATAGTGACACTCTTCGGCACTTACCAGGACAGAGCGGTGATACTTCACTGGAACTCTTTTCTGGCATGTAAAGAAAGATGGACAGAGTTCTGAGCCCTGATGTAATCGCCACCCTTCCATTTCCTTCTCTGCACAGGAATTTTTTTTTTTTTTTGGGTAATTTCTCTGTTACAAGGCCCCAAGCTAATTCAGCTCAAAAGGGCTTAGGAGGACGGTGATTGCTTAGTGAAAAAGGTGACACCCCAGAGTGATTTGTGTAGTTTTAGTGGAGACTGCTGTGTCGGTGATTGTTTTGATATCTTCTGAGTAGGTTAATGCTCCTGCAAGGTGAAGGCATGTGTGGTGAGAGTATGCTTGTGTACTTCAAAAGAAAATGGGATTGCTGGGTCAAGCCCGACTCTGCTGCTACTGCTAAAGGGGCCTGTGAATGTAAGAGTGACTAGCCAGGTGGCTACGAGTGCAGAATGAACCTCTGGGGGCTCTGGAGCTTCAGAACAAAGCTTCTGCTTCACCTCCCCATGACTAAAATGTGAAGGTTTGCCACATGTTCCCAGTGCCATCTGCTTGTTGTGTCAAAGGGGCGCTCTGCATTGTATCTTATAGACTATTATATTTTACACTCTTCCTGGTGTATGTGCAGTCCAGGGTATAAACCACTAAATGATGCAGAGAATGGACCCCTTTAACAGCATTAATGGTGTACATAGACAACAAAAAAAAGTCACTTGTGCCCTCCCTTTACTGCACAATCCTTGATCAGTTACCAATTTCTAAACAGAAATGTACAAAGAGATCTATATATGGAGATGAGATGTCTATATTAATATATATATATAAATATATAAAGAAAATATATAAAGTGTAATATCCTTTGTACGAGGTAGAATGTCTGCTTCAATTTCTGAGATCTTCTATGACCTGAAGATTTTCAGGATGACGCATCCCAGCGCATCACAAACCACAAAATTTCAGCTAACCCAGCAAAATGCACCTAAACAGCCTCACAGAGTGGACCCCATTGCCGGTGCACATTGAAAGCAGCCAAACTGTGACTCTGGTCTCAGTGATGTCACCATGTAAGCTTACAGAATGGCTGCCACCAATGAGCGTAGGCAACAGATCCACTTTAAATCTTCTATACAAAAAAAGATAAGGTATACCCCAGATGTATACAGGGTATGCACGTCTCTTCCTAAAGCCAAAATGCATGGTAGGTATAGCTTTGCACTGGATCTCTATAATGGAATGCAAAATGGGTGCCTGCACAGTGCTTTGTGATCTTTGTATTAGATCACCGAACATATTGGACCTTTTAAAAGGGATTGTTAGCTCTTTTTGCCAAAAGCAATGCAACAAATCACACTTTGTACTATGTTTTTCTTTTTAAATGTCTGTTAGACACCTTCCATTTGACACTCCTCTGTTTGTTCTTGTCGGTCATGTCAATTGACTTTTTAGTTTATCATTTTTGCTATAATTTTTCATCAAGCGCAACACTAAAATGCAGAATTGCCTCCAGATTGCTCCAGGAGCTGTGTCTACAGCCAACCTCATTCATTGCCAAGTTTTGGAGTGAACAAATTGTTGGGAACTAGAGAACTACTTACGTTCAATCCCAGTATGATAGTACCACAATGATACTTTCTCAGGATCTCCCCTCACAATGTGATGGTGTCCTATATCTTTTGATGCTGTACAATTCCCTCCTTCGTGAACTGACGCATGTGTTGAAATAGAAAGTCGCCTTTATATGACCACTTTCTACTTCTCTTTTATAAGGTAATGAAGGCAGCAATTTTTATACTTGAGAAAAGAGGTGATTACCTGTTAGCAGAATGACCTTTTGTGTTGCAAAAGACTAGCAGTCACTTATACCATGCTGGAAGATGAAACAAAAAAATAAGAAAAAAGGAGGTTTTTTTTTTTTCTTTGTATTATTATAGATATTTATTATATTTCATGTATGCAAAGGAAACATTTAACAAGGCACAGCTGTGGTTTGCCAACTCTCATTGTATAAGATGTAATATAAAATATAATCTCTCCATATGAATTTGAGTTTGCAGCATTTTCAGTTCTGTGTGAACACTCCCTTCTTTATTAGAGAGAAAGTAACTTCAAAATGTATTCTAGATTTCTGATAACCTATATGTTGCAAACCGTGTTGCTTATTGAAGTAAAATATTCCTTTACCCTACAAAGAAAAAGTATATATGCAATTATGCTGATGTGTAATTTCCATGTAACGGTTCCCTTGTGGGACCTGTTTTTAAGGATGGATCCCCTGCTGATTCTTTTAAAGTCTGTGAGACTCCAGTGTTGAGGTTTTCCTGCAGTAATATATACAATATGACCAAAACTTTGTGGACATTTGACCATCACACCTATATGAGCTTATTGGATATCCCATTCTAAGACCAAGGGAGTTGAGGCCCCCTTTGCCCTCTTTTTGAAATTAGGAGTGTGTCTGTTAGAATATGTGCCCATTCTGCCCAAAGAGCATTTGGGTGTTTACGTACAGATGTTAAATGAGAAGACCGGGCACACAATTGCCATTGAGATTCATCAGTAGGATGTTTAGTAGGGTAGCGATTAAGGCTGTGCGCGTCAGCTTGACTTCTCCACCCACAACTCATCAAAACGATGATTTTATGAAGCTGGTTTTCTTCACAGACTATGTTCCTGTGGAAAAAGCCAGCTCCTTAAGGCATGGTTTGATAAGTTTGGTTTAATACTAGAACAGAAAAGGACCTTCCCCAAAATGGAAGTAATGGTCTAAATAATTTACTGTATGCTGTGGCATTAACAATACTCTTCACTAGAAACACCTAAACTCAATAATTTTGAGGGGTATCCACATACTTTTTTCCATTCTGCTGCTAAAAAGGCCATATTGAAAGTGTTATTCCACATTAAACAAAAAAAATAAATACATAACAGGTAATGGCATACATTTATTTTAATGCATTGGACACTGCTGTAAATAGTGATAGGGATAATTCAACACTGGAGTATCCAAGAAATACAAAAGGCAAGCATGTGATTTAAGCATCCAGCAACAACCTTTAAATATAGATTTGTGCTCTGCAGTGTTGGCTGTACAAAGCACTCCCCACTCCGGAAAGGTACCACAGCATGAATGTTTATATACCCGAGGTCCTTGGCTAAGTCTCCCCAAATGTCATACTTCTGTTTTAGGTGGGCAAATACTTTTATCTTTGACTAGTCACAGTTAAGAGAGTGTTCCAAAATGTTAATTTATATAGATTGCAGTTTACAATTATCAGTATTCAGTAACTTTTTATAAACCACTTCATTATGAATAATGCATATTCTTGTAATGCTTTTTAAAGCCATAGAGTAGATTTGTGACTTGGGGAGATGCACTTTAAATGTGATGACAATTAAGTCATCAGGGGTTTTCCAGAACAACTAGCAACAAGGGAACCAGCTACTGTAATGTGCTGAACATTTTGTTGATCAGATGCATTTTAACACAGTTTAATATGCAGGACTTATGGAGTTCTGCTTATGTTTTAGTAAGAGGACAAACCTGTATCTAAGAAAGACATAAGAAAGACAATTTTCAAACATTGTGCTGCACATGTGTCACTTTTAAAATCAGTGGATGTTTAAACCAGTCAGCTAATAACTTGTTTCTCAGAATATGTAAAAAAAAAAAAAAAAATAATAATAAACCTGTTACTAATGTTTTTAAGCCTGGCCATATATGACATTTCTTGTCTGAAATCTCCATTCCAAAAGGATCTGGATGGTCTGGTGTCTGCAGGCACCAAGAGATCTAACCCATAAAAGTCTTGATTGTTTGCATTTTGAATTCAGCGTTCAATATTTTATTAGATTTTAAAGTCATTGTAATATGTGTCATTGTTATATTTAATTAAAAACAATTGTTGCTTAATGGGAAGTAGTAAAGATGCTCATGGCATGAGTGCCATTATCCCCCAAGGCAATTTCATCAATAGCGCAGCTACACTTCAGCAGGAAGTTGTCCCTGGACATAATTCTAGAATATTTTCAAGTATGTGAAAGTATCAGACCTGAATGAAGGTCCCTTTCCAAATATGCAGATGTAAATTATGCTTTGTAGGATGTACACATCGGGGAGCATTGGATGAGTCCCAGCTGGTTGTATTGTTTGGTGGGGGAGCTTCCCTTTGGCAGCTGTCCCAGAAAACAGGAGCCATGACTTGTCCCTTGTCTGAATTAAGTCCCTTGTCTTACATTATAAAAAAGAATTATAAAAAGAAGAATACCAGTCTGTTGGTGCCCCTCAAACACATCATGTTTTTATTGCATGCAGCAAAAAACACAACCTAGCCATTTACTTTTTTTTTTATACCTTTAGCCACCTATGAATGTTAGTCTTCCTTTGCTCTAGCACTATGACAACTCTTGGCTTTCAAGAATGCAAAGCTCCCCATGTTACCTCAGTGTCATGGCTGGTGGAGAACTCTGCCACCATGAGACACACAGCGGGTGAGAGTAAAAAACACTGTTTGTAATGACTGTTTATATGTCTGCTCCATATAATGCAAATAGACTTGGTTGGCCTAAATATCTGAGTAGAGTATCTGTCATGTGACTGTAGTTCAAGTTAAAGAAATATCCTTAAGGCGTGCAATATTAGAATGGACATTGATCTGTAGACCCTATCAGCTGGGGCAATTTTCGCCCTGCGTTCCTCACAAGGTATAAAGTTTTTAAAAGGCCAATGCAACCCAGGAATTTATTTTCGAGTTTTCTAGGGCAGGGGGAACCTCTATTAGGTTTTTATCACTGAATCCAGTGCAAGTTAGCACATTTAGTTGATAACCTGGGGAGTTTTTTTGGGGGTTTTGTGCTACTTTTCTCTTTCTGTCCCAGTAACAAACACCCTCATTTTTTGTCCTTGTGTCCCTGGAACAGACAATGAGAAGAGATCTTCACAATGAAGTCAGACAGCAGTACAAATGTGACCCAAGTTCTGACTTTTACCCGAATTAAAAAAGAAAAAAAGTTTAAGCTGGCGTTGGGTTTTATTTGTTAGTACAAACATCTACCTTAACATGATTTTATCGTAATAACTTAGACTTAAGCTGGTCAGGTCTCTTTTTTTTTTTCTCTGAGATTCCTTTATTCACACAAGCAAGGTGGATGAAGGAATCCAAGTGCTCACAGAATACACTAAACAGTGGCTGCAGCTGCTATCTGAGAAAAGTTTTCCAGTTCCAGAAGTTGGACTGGAATGGCTACACATGGATCAAAGTTGGCTAGCCCCTACTGAACTGTCTAAATTTTGATCCATTTTTGGTCAGCTCTAGAGCGGAACCATGGGCAGGTATAAAAACATTTATTGTAGTTTTGTAGCTTGACAGAAAATTCCCCGTAAATTGAAAAAGGGGAATGAATTAGCAATGTATTGGTCCTCCAGTCAATTGACTGTGAGGAGGGAGGTGATACCAGAGTATTTCTTAAAGCGACCCTGTTTCTAAACATGTCTTTTTAGGCTTCATTTACCCAATATGCAGAAAAACTGCTGGACACTGATGCGCAGATTTCATTTGCAGACACATCAGTTTTCATGCACAGTAAGGCTCAGGGGCGGACTGACAACTCATGGGGCCCCTGGGCAATAGGGGATCATGGGGCCTCTGTGCCCTTGCCCAAACTCAAAAAAGCCTATGAAAAAGGTACCTGGGGCATTTCATGGGGCAGTGCCTGAGTTTCCAAATGGTCAGTCCGCCCCTGGTAAGGCTAGGTTCTCATCTGTGCAGGTGGTGACGCTGTGGGACTCGCACAAATACCGGCAGGCGCAACCATCCTCACAGAGAAATGCAGGACCCGTGGGTGGGTGCCATTAACCCTAATGACACAATGCCCGTACTGGAAATCTCAACCGTACTGGGAACCTCGGTTTCCGTGCAGGCTTCGATTTCAAAAATAGTACAGGGACCTGGGTCACGGCTGCCAATTCAAATAAATGGGCTCTTGTGCGTGTGCAGGTGTGAACCTAGCCTTAATGAGTTTTATGCACTTTGCAGATACCTACATAGAAAAAATCTGCATGTGATACTAGTGTTGTGGTGTGAACAGGGCACATAGAAAACAATAGATTTTGTTGTGCCATTGCAGAAAAAATTACCTGTCAGCATCATGGTGTGAACGAGCCTTTAGAGTTAACAGAGAAATAGGTGTCACCTTCCTTGATGACGAAGGTGGGGAAATCACAGAGGTGTCCAGAAAGAATCACAAGCCTTTTGGGAGACAAGACACTTCCTGTACAGTATATTTCAACTGTGTATCTAGCAGTTTGTCTAGAATTCACCTTTAGGCACTCCAAAATTAAGGTGCTACTAACAAATTTTAAATTGTAAGAAAGCCTAATTTAAACATTACTATAAAAAAAAAAAGACAAATCAAAAGCCAGCAAAAAATGCCTGTAAATAAAATATCCGTATAAATGTGAGAATAAAATCCACTGGGGTATATGTTTAGGCAAACAAGGCCTGACAAAAAATAGCGCACATCACAGTATATCAGGCACTTGGGAACCATACTTGGGATGGCCCATGAGAGGTGCCTTTTTCTTCACCATCATCTTTCTGAAGAGATTCTGCTGTTAATATTTCCACCTTTAGAAGGCAACACAAATTTTGATTCATTCTTTGGGAAGATGGATTTATACGCCTGGTCTCAGAAATCTCAGTAAAATGCCAAGAAAGTTGTATGCCAATCAGGACCAGTGCATCGTGCAATGCTTTAGTCTGTGATACACTGTATGTCCATTTCACCATAGATTGGTAAAAAGAACGTTGTTCATTGGTAAGAGTAATACAGGCCATTTAGGGTTTGAGAACCAAAATCGGCCAACCACTGTAGTAGTTTATGGCCTAAAGGATGTTTATAAGCAGGTGGCAGATTCATTTTTATTATGCTATTTTTTTTTTATTTTCTTTTAAGAATTATCTCTGCATAAATGTATTTTGCTCAAAGACAAGATCAGTAAATACAATGGGGTCTGTGTAAATAAAATGCTGTGCAAATGCATCAGCACAGGCTTAACAAATCTTTACTGTAATTCGCTTAATGTTTGCTTCCCCAAGATTGTCAGCCTCACATAGTGGTAATAATGTTGCATTTTACCTAAAATACCTTGATCAGAAAACCTTCCGCTAGATGGCACTGATGATCCTAGGCAATGAACGTATTAAGCGAATTAGAATGAGGCTTTGTTGCACCTGAACAAATTTTTGACACATTCACACAGTAAATATTTTTATACATAGACCTCAGCGTGTCAGATGTTGTAAAAGCATTTGTAAGACTCCTGTCCATAAAACCAGAAGCTTTTTCTTCTGTTTCCAGTGCAATTAAAATGAAAGCTGGTTGCTATGATCAGCAAGAACTGAAGCTCTACCCCCACCTTCCCCTACATACGTTTATACATGAAATCCATATACCGTATACAATTTTTTTTTTTTTTAATTCTCTCAATGGCTTCTATTCCCTTCTGTAAGCTCATAGCATGTTTGTGGAGTGCTGCTTGCAAGCACATCACTGCTGTACAGTTCTGGATGTGTGTATAGATTATATATGACAAATATTTCCTATGGAATGGTTATCCAGCCTGTGCCACGTGGGTGGGAATGTTTTTTTTTGGGGGGTGGGGGTGGGAAGAGAAATGGGCCAATTCTCTGTCGGACAGGTATCTTGTCCTTATTTTCATCATTTGATTATGTTATTTAGGTATTTCTATACCCATTTTGGGACTGATTTATTTTTGTCTTGGACATGGAGGGAGGGGATAAAAGAAAACCTATGAAGTATATATGAAACCCAAATGTATATATTGTGTATATTTAATGCTTCAGAAATGGAAAAAAAAAAGTCTGTTACTGGTGTGTATTCTACTGTGTGTTTTCTTTAATGTGTGTCCTTTACTGTGTATATTTTTCAAATCATACAGCAAAACCATTGACTAGGCAAAATGGAACTGATGAGGGCTTACACAGGCGTATGTAAAATGTCTTTAAACTGATACCAAGTGAGGGGCCACCACTTCTTCAGATTTCTCCTCACCTTCTGTTTCAATGACAGCTGTAAAATTTTGAATTTCTCATCAATTTATTATCACTGGGACAAAAAGCGATGTAATCTTTCCAGTGGGGACTTTATCTGGCCATAGATGGATCAACATTGACCGGTTCAGCAAGGACTGGCCAAATTGTGATCCATCTATGGACATTCTCTCTCGAGAGAAGTCAGTGCTGATCAGAGTATTCTGAGAGCGGAGGAGTCCCTACTGTCAAGATATAATGAGGAGGATGGATTCCTCCATCCACCTCATTTGTTTGGATGGAAGAATCATTTCCCCCTTTTTTCTTTGATCAGCCCACCACTGCCTGATCCACAAAAAAAAAAAAAAAAAAAAGAAAGAAACAATCCGGTCTTAGAATCTTTGACTTTTTCTAATATCTAACCATTCCCCATTCCATCCAGAAAACTTAGAGTATGACAGGAACCTAAAGGAAGTCCCCTTTGATATTCTCAACATTTTATACGGCAGCAAGAGCTTTTTTTCAGTGGGAATGTGGGGGAATGCAGTTCTGGCACCTCCAGCACTGAATGTATGTAATGACAAGGGGTGCTGGAGGGTCCATTGATGCTGGTGGATCTATTGTCCCTGATGGGGATCTTTTTTCCATGCTGGGGGTCTATAATTACTGGGGTGGTATTTTGTTGTGGGGGGGGGGGGTCCATTGTTTCTGGGGGTTCTATTGTGTGGGGGATCATTTGTTGCTGGCTGCAAGAGATCTACTGTATTTTACTGCTTTTCATGTTATCAACACATTATATACAAATTACCACAAAACACCACACCACAAAATGATACTTGGTTCTGTATTCTATAAAAGGGGCGGTACTGGGAAGTGGGTAGGAGGTGGAACCAATGGAGAGAGCTTGGAGGTTGGTAGGGGAGGAGACAAGTGGTGACTTTACAGGTGGGCAGTTTCTGCACCTACTCTGAGAAAAAAAAGCCCTGAGGAAAACGAATTGTTACCGGTTATTGGGGTATGCATGCTATGATTGGGTTATCGCTGCCTAACCCTGTCGCTGCCAGAGCTGTTTTTGCATTTTTTTGCACACGTTAAAATAATTTTAGGCCTGAAGAGAACACCAAACCCACAAACATTGTATATTTTCTGAAAGCAGACACCCTAGAGAATAAAATAGTGGTAGTTCCAATTTTTTTATGTCACACGATATTATTGCATAGGTCTAAGAAACGCACAATTTCCGTAAAAATCACACTAAAATGAAATTTAGGGCAAACCAACGCAATAAATGACCCACATTTTTGGTAAAAGTATAAAGATAAGATTTTGGCAAGCAAATAGATACCCAACATGCCACACCTTAAATCAGTGTGCGCCTATGAAATTGTATCAAACTTCAGTACCCTATGTTTTCTATAGATGACGCTTCAGAGACCTGGGCTAGGGCACCAGTTTAGTGTTACGGAGGAGGTCTGGTGCTAGAATGATTGCTCTCACTCCGGCGTATGTGGCGATATGTAACATGTATAATGCAATCAAAGTTTTCACATGGAGGTGCCCTGACGTGTGCATGTGTGGGGGCGGGGGGTGATCTTGATTGTAACTATATATTTTTTTTTTTTTTTTACTTTTCATCACATAGGGGACACAAAGTCTCCTCTGCGATGATTTTTTGGCGACAGGTTCTCTTTACTGAGACATGCAGGGTCTAAAAATGATCCATTAGATGTATTGCAATGCAAACTGCATCGGTGGCAGCGGGCCCACCTGGCTGCTTCCACCTGGCAGGCAGGAGTCTGCCTGTCCATTTTATACACAATTGTATATAAAAACACCCCACTGTCAGGTCCATATGGTGTACAGACCTGGCAGTGAAAGGGTTAAAGTCATAAGAGAAATATGGGGGCTGCCATTGTGCTTCCTGTTTAAAAATGCCAGATCCTGGCTGAGCCTGCATTGCTTTCTAGTGCTAAAATGATGGCAGTTAGCATTGTTAGGAGTAGTCTACAGTGGCAGATTCTGTGGTTTTTTTTTTTTTTTTTTTTCTGGAGCCAGGGTTCCCTGAATTTTTCATACATACCAAGTGTTTGTACCGACAGGTGTTACAGCTGAAGTTTAGCTATGGCAATTTTTACATAGTTACCAGCTTGGATTAATGGAAGCATGTATGTGTCATACCTGCGGGATCCACATCGAAGCTGGAAATCACCACTTTGGACAAGGTGGAGAGATGATGTCACAATCCAGAGAACACTTTGCATTTTCCTACTGAATGTAAAGTGTTCCCTGAATAGCTGTGCTGAGTGATCACAATGCAGCAGGCTGGCCGCTCAACACAGAACATTTAGCTGGTGCAGATCACTGTCACAGTAGTGCCTATTATTATACAGTATTTATAAAGCGCCAATAGTTTGCTCAGCGCTGTACATTACAAAGGGGGACAGAACAACAACAATGCAATGCAAAACATGAGGGGATCGAGGGCCCTGCTCTTTCGAGCTTACAATCTAGGATTTCTAGCTTCCAGTCATTCAGTCATTTCTAGCTTCTATGGGTATGGCACATACATACCCATGTAGACGAAATATATTTAAAAAAAAAAAATTATATATATATGTTAGGTCCATATATATTTTGGACACAGGCAAAATTTTAGTTTTTTTTTTTCAGGTATGGACCAAAACATATTCAAGCTATAGTTATATGATGGATATGGGCTGAAAGTGCACACTCTCAGGTTTCATTTGAGGGTGTGTACATTCATATTGGAGGAAGGGTTTAG